GTATAGGCATAACAGGTACAAAGAGAATGAAAATGAAAGAACCTGAGTATTCAAGAAACAGTAAAAAGTTCAGTGTGTGTAGGGGTGCCTGGCCAGCTCAGTCCATAGAACACACAACTCTTGATCTTGGGGTCATTGAGTTCAATCAAGCCTCACATTGCATGTAAAGTTTACTTTTTAAAAAATTTTAAATAAAGTCCAATGTGTGTAAATAAAATAACACAACCAAATGCTAGTAAATGCTTCCTCATTCTACTTTCCTAAATAATCAACACGATTTATTAAGCTTTCATCATGGAATGTTTCTAAAGAAAATATAAAGCCCAACTTTCACTAGTAGAGACAAACACACATTTAAAAAACATCACACATATTGAGTACTATCAGAAAAAGAAATTCTTGGGGCGCCTGGGTGGCTCAGTCGGTTGAGCGTCCGACTTTGGCTCAGGTCATGATCTCACAGTTTGTGGGTTCGAGCCCCGCATCAGTCTCTGTGCTGACTGCTTGTTCAGAGCTTGGAGCCTGCTTCAGATTCTGTGTCTCCTTCTCTCTCTGTCCCTCCCCCATTCACACTTTGTCTCACTCTGTTTCTCAAAAATAAATAAATGTAAAAAAAGAAAAAGAAAAAGAAAAATACTAGGCAACAGAAATTAAAAAAAAAAAGAAAAAAGGAAAAGAAACTCTTCTCCCAACAGCTTACTGTCAATAAATCATACCCAAAATCTCGTACCTACCAAGATACAGGCTACCTAAGTATTTTCAGTTAGTTTCCCCATTCACCTGAAACCAGTATTTTCACCGTATTTTAAAAGTTTTCAAAAATTTCAAAAAGTGGGAAGAAAACCAAATCTTCTGTGCACACTTGAAAAAGGGATTAAAAAAAATTAACTTCCCTTCCTTTTCTTCAGCTTAAAACGGAATAATTTCCCAATCATGAGGATTAGTAATGAGCTTCACTAAATTGAGCTGTAAAAACAATAATGGAACTCTTTTGAGTTGTACCACTATATGATCATTTACTAAAGTTAGATCCTTTAACCCAATAGTGTACATCATCTATTCTAGATCAGTCTCATTTTTAACCCGAAGTTTTGTAAGGAGAGGAGTACAAATATTTTACAGTTCCAAGGATCTAAGTTCATGTCTTTCTCATATTTGCTCTTCACAAAAATCATTAACATTAATCTCAAAATCAAACAAGTTGAAAAGCCTAGAATGCTCAGTAAAACACATTACAATCAGCTACAAGAAAGCTACAGTGAGCAAAGCACCTGCCTATCAAGGTTACACTGTGACTTATTGCAGTGTAACAGAGAAAGGAGGTAAAAACTACTTGCCTTTAGGATGTCTTTCATTATTTATAAAGTACAAAGGTCACATGTTTTCTTCCTCTTTTAAAATACGTTGTTTTTGTTTTTTTTTTTTTTTGCTTTGAAGACTATTTTACACTGACAACATTTATAACATCAATTTTCTCCAATTGTCTAAGTAAACAAAAAATGCAAAACCTCCAAGTACCTAATGAAAAAGCACTTCTCATTTCCATCATATTATCTTAAATCTTGCCCTTATACAAAAGTGTTAGTTAATGCTGACTCAACAACTTTGGCCAAGAGCAAGGTTGTGTTGTTGTTGTTTACTTCCGGACCCTTCAAACTTTGACAAGAGATTGGTTTTCTAGCAGCCAAAATACATGCCAAATTAACTGTTTTGTGTTACTCCTTCAAAGAAGGAAAAAAAAAAAAACCACCTTTCATGTATTTTCAAGGTAGAAATGAGTGCCTTCACTGATATAAAATTTTCTACACAAAAAAGCAAATGAAAAAATCCTAATGCTTTTTGACAAAGATACAATTTTCAAAACTTGTAAGCCAAGATATATAAGAACTTAGACATACCCATATGTTCTCTTAATTTTAAAATTAATTGTTACTTTAAATCTTATCCTTCATGAAAGAAATTGGATAAAACAAAGGGATGAAAGAATGCCAAAATTAAGAACTAAAAATTCATAAAGCTGAAAATGAATGAATTTTAAGCAACAAAAATAGCTAAACAAGTAGTTGCAGTTTACAGAAAAGGTAATAGTTTTAGATTCTCTGAAACTAAATCTAAGTAAGAGTTTTAAAGTTTTGCTATCAATTAAGTCCTGCTTTATACATAAAACTTTTTAATCCTCATCAAATGCAAATAAAGAGATTAAGCATTTTGAAAATCTGCTTTGGTATGTAGTTTTCTAATTCAATTTTTTTAATTAAAAATAATCTTTTGGAAAATACTCATTCAACTTTTTCAATATGTATAGTTTTTATAAATCACACACAAAAAATTGCACTTTTGTTTTTGTACATCACTGATTTCAAGACTATTTTTAAAATAAAGAGGGGGTGAAATATCACCAAGATATTTCTGACAATTTTTGTACGTTACAATTTCACTCTAAAATTTACTCTCAAGGGGTGCCTGGCTGGCTCAGTCAATAGAACATTCAACTCTTGATGGCAAGGTCATGAGTTTGTTTAAGTCCCAACTTGGGTGTAAAGTGTACTAAAAAATAAATAAAATTCTCTCAAATCTAGAACTGATAAGAGTGAAACAGATCAAAGAACAAGCAACTGTACCCAAAAGAAAATGAATTGAAGTTCCCTAAACAATGATGTTAATTTCAAGTATGATCCCACAACCTTAGACAAAGTAGACATTCCAGTATGTGATCAATCAACAGTGCACTAAACAGCACTTTGCTTAGAATTTGTAAGGCAAAAAGACACTCCAATTGAATGCAAACCACCCAAGAATGAATGACGTTTGACTACCAATACATCATACCGCAAAATGAACGGAGTTAAGTAACACGTACTTGATAGCTCTTCTAATAACTTTGTTTTAAAAAGGTAAGTCAGAAATGGAGTATTTCAGTAACTACAAAGGAGTACTTAGTAAATGAAAAAGCATTCCCTAGATTTCAGGGGATTGACAGTTCCTTTAAACCAAAAGAGAAACTCCCTATCTTGACAGTAAATACACAAATACTAACATTTTTTAAGTCTCCTTAAAATAAATAACAAGAACACTATTTACAATGAAAACAGTCAATCTTCTATGGAGACATCATATGACCAGTACAGGAATTTATCTACCTGGTAAGAATAATGCACTTAGACACGGATTAGAAGTATTAAAAGATTTGATCCAAGTTCAAGTTACAACTTTATTTCACTTTTCTCTTCATCCCTCTGCAATGAGTCCATCAAGTTACAAATTTAAATTTCAGCAGTCACTAGGTTGTAATCACAAATTATTTCTCTTTCGCAGATTAAAAAATCCAGGCTGAGATGAAATAGAGGCGATTCAATCACACTCGCCTAACCTGAAATGTAGGAAGTAATCAGTAAATTACTGTGAAATGCTTTTTATTCAAACATGCTATTTTGCAAACATACTTTAATAACAGCATGAAGGTAATGAGATTATGGATACCTGGAAAATCTGTATTTTTAAGCCAAAAGTTAACGTGTATAGTCTGACAAGTATTACGGGAACGGTGGAAATGAATATTTAAAATTCAACTACCCCAGAAAATTCTAACACATGAAGTCAATATCCGTATTTTTTAGAATCAGGTAACAAGTATCATTACCGTACAAAACACCTGCAAGTTAAGATCACTAACTCCTTCACTCGCTCCTCTCCTCTGTTAACTAATCCTTTCAGTCGCCAAAAAAGTTACTTCCTTTCTACCTACGTCAAATTAAGATCCTTCTCAGGCAATTTCCATGCCCAGGGTTAAATATCACCAATACAAATACATAAGTGGTCAATAAGCACCAAATAACTAAGTGTTCAGCACACGAAAGGAATTGACCAATGAAAAAACATGACACCTTCCTCCCTAACCTCCCCCCAAAAAAGCCATTTCATTAGCTTCACAAACATTTACTGCTGAAGTATACTCTGAGCGAGTGGTTCGATGGGTCTCCTTCACCAAACCCTAACTAGGAAACATAACCAATCGTCCGGACTCTGTCAGACAGTCAAGATGATTCGGAGAATTATTAGAAACTGACGTCCGCAGGATCAGGAGTTTGAGAGAAAGGTAAGCAGTGTACTCGCAGGTGAGTTGGGGGTAGGGAGGAAACCCTGAAAATCGGAAACGAAGTTGGTCGGAAGGTTAGAGAGAGGCGAGGCCGATGTCCGGTTCGGAGAGGACGCCACTGCAGGGCAGACAGCGATTAATTAAGCATTTGGAAGAGCTAAAGAGAGTTCTACGAAAGACCTGACCCAAGTACAAGATACAAGAACGCTGATATACCGCTCAAAGACACGCGGGGGTGGGGCCCGCCCCGCTAACCCTGCTCCCTGAATGAACCCTCAAAAGAGAATCGAAGCCCGAGAAAGTCAATGGGTCCAAAGGAGGCCCGCACCGGCCGGGCAACGCCACAGCACAAAACGCAGAAGCGTGCAGAGCCTCCTGGTCTGAGGCCTCGGGTCGGCCCTCAAGAAAGTCGGAGCAGCCCCTGGGGCTCCGGGCCCCTCCTGGGCCAGCCTCTGTCCTCTCTTCTCACCCCCAAAAGCCTAGAACCGGACTCATGAGATTGACAGGAAGCTTCCGGCCGAGCGCTCCCGGCAGGCGCGGGGCAAAAGAAGCAATATGTCCTTAGCGCCGCGAGTGACACTCACCGGCCCGAAACCTCGAATGAAACCAGCAGCTCCGGGGGCGGCGGCAGCAGTGGCAGCAGGAACCGAACATCCAAAATGGCGGCTCCCTCGGCCTCACCACCGCTACTGCAGGCGGAAGGATCCTTTTAGGAAGGAGGGAATTTTTAACTAACTTCAAATACTATCGCAAAAACTTTGGCCTCTATCTCCCTCTCCTAGTCGATTCCGTCTTCCCTAGACGTAACTTTTTGTGCCTCCGCTCTCCTACTACCCAAAAACTCGGACCCGACCGAGGACTATTTGCCAAGGAGGAGGTGACTGCACCTAGCAGAGCGACGCAAAGCGTAGCAAAGTACGGGGCGGTCACTGATGACGCGAGACGCTGCTGCCGAGTCACCGCTGCGAAGAGTCTGAGAGAGAAAGAGCCGGCTGACCCTGGAAGCCTACGAACTTTGGTTCCGCTTGCGGGGGAGGAGGAAGCTGAGCTACCAGGAAGCCGCGGGGCCACCTGAAGAGAGCCGAGCTATCAAGGTATAGAAAGACGTGGGTGAGGCGAGGCAGGTGGGGGCTGGGAATTAATACAGAAAAATCTCGAGCTGTTTCCAGTCGTGTTTGAAACTTTAGCTTTCTCTAGGCTAACTTCAGGAACATGCTCCAAGCGGTCTTGGAGTCTACAGTTTTATAGTATCTTTGCAAGGTGTTTTTTACAGTTAGAGGATGATACAGAAGAATATATTTCAAACGCAGGACAACCGCTCAACGTCCTGCTTTGGATAATCATTTAAACTCTCAGGGCCTCAGTTTCCTCGTATGTAAAAACAAAGGATTTGGACTAGTGAACGCTAAAACTCTTTAAAGAGTGGGCTGTGTCTCCATAACCAATAACCTGAGCCAAAGACCGTCTACCCAGACATTACCTGGCTTGATAAATAATTATGAACACCTAACACAAATATTTTCCACGTGAACGGTGAAAAGAGCCGTGATATTTTGGCTCATTTAAAGGAAAGGTGACCCACCTAAACTAAAATCCTTCACGTAGATTGGCGGCAAAGAAGTCCTGAAAGTTAATAAAGCACAGCACCTGGCGGGATGCCAAACAGAACTGAACTAACCAAATCTTAAGTTTAGAACCTGTCATAGGAGGTTGCTCTTTTTTCCTCAGACAGCCACTTTTATGCAGAGATTTCAAAACATTTTACAAAAATTGAATTCAGGAGCACAATTTTGCTCTTGAACTATTCGGGGTTAACAAGTGACAAAGGCCAGGGGGCGTGATAAAGTAATTATCATTTACTATTATTAAACATTGATATCACATTGTTTATAAAAGCATCTTCCTATGTGTGACCCAGTGTGACCCTCCTACCAACCTCCTAAATCAGATTAGTCAAGGATAAGTAACTTAGTTTTACAAATAAGGAGACTGAGGCTCAGAGAAACTATTAATATAGAAACCCTCCCTCCCCCCTCCCCCACTCTGATTCAGCTATATGGTGCCACTTCCTGAATTAGAAAAGAGTATACACACACACACACATTGACTCCCACACTCAGGGTGGAATCAACCCAAATGGTCTGGGGAGCAGAAACCTCATGGAATTCAGTTGCCTCATCTCCCCCTCAATGCACTACTGTGCAGTGCAACCTTGGATCACACAGCTTGTAGGTAGTAGCATAAAACTAGAACATAATGATGTTGCAAGGCATATTCCTCTGAAGTATAGCTAGGCATGAACACATGCTAAAGAACAGTTTTGGACTCCCTCAAAAGTAAGGAATTTGGAGGTCACAAAGCAAAGTATTTTGTTTGCAACATCACAAATATTTGTTTAGAGGTTGAATTTAAGTGTTTATACCACTGCAAACCACAAAAGAAAAATTAAACTATTCTTAAGAAAGAGGAAGGAACTTTTTTAGTACCATGCCAAATGGCAGAGCATTAAAGAGAATACAGCAGACATTATGAGATGTAAACCCCCTCCATGTTTCTTTTTTACTTTTATTACCTTTATAATTACCAAACTCCTCCTCCAATGAAACTAAAAAATAGGGGCGCCTGGGTGGCTCAGTTGGTTAAGCGTCCGACTTCGGCTCAGGTCATGATTTCACAGTTTGAGTTTGAGCCCTGCGTCGGGCTCTGTGCTGACAGATCAGAGCCTGGAGCCTGCTTCGGATTCTGTGTCTCTGTCTCTCTCTGCCCCTAACCCACTCACATTCTGTCTCTGTCTCAAAAATAAATAAACATTTTAAAAAAATTTTAATTCAATAAAAGCAATTGACTTAATATATAGTGTGGACATCATTATCCTAAGAGTTTTGCTTTCCGTGGTTAGCATTTAAAGGTTAAGAAGACTGGGGCGCCTGGGTGGCTCAGTCAGTTAAGCAGCCGACTTCGGCTCAGGTCATGATCTTGCAGTCCCTGAGTTTGAGCTCCGCGTCGGGCTCTGTGCTGACAGCTCGGAGCCTGGAGCCTGCTTCTGTGTCTCCCTCTTTTTATGCCCCTCCCCCATTCACGCTCTGTCTCTGCCTTTCAAAAATGAATAAGTGTTAAAAAATTTTTGAAAAAAAAAGTTTGGGAAGACTTACTCCCCATCTAATCAAGCATAATCTCTAGTTTCAGGTAGGTTACAGCACATCAATAAAATGGAGTACTATGCTGCTAATAAAAATGAAGCTATAGCTCTATCTTTATTATCATGGTATGACAGGTGTTTTTGAACATTACAAAATGATTTTATAATAATATTGCAAAAAAAGCGTATATATACATAGAAAAAAGTTGAAGGATAAAACTAAAATGCGAAAATGGTTATTTTTGGATGGTGGGATTATGTAGGATTTGTATGTTATGATGTTTTGTTTTTGCAATGAGCATAATATACATTTTGGGAAAAGACTTACATTTTGAAAAAAAAAGTTTTTACAAAATAATGCAGTTTTATAGATCCAAATGTTAAAGGAGCTCTTTGTTTTTATTTCTTTAACATTTATTTATAGTTTTGGTAATCTCTACACTCAGTGTGGGGCTCAAACTCATGACCCTGAGATCAAGAGTTACATGCTCGTCTTCCGACTGAACCAGCCAAGCACCCCAGGAGATTTTTGTTTTTAAAACGGCAACATCCCAAAAATTAACTAAACTTTTAGGAAGAGAGAATGGCTGGGAGAAAAGATCATTATTTTTATAGTTTTGTTTATTATTGAAAAACTCATATGCTCCAATTTAACAAATAATAACAACAACAAAAAACAAAACTAAAGATGCATCAGCCAGGAGTCAGACATTCGCATGCCAGTCCTGGCTGGGTTACTAACTTTGTGCTGTAATCAGGGTATTTAACATCTCTGGGCCTGTTACTTCATCTGGCCCTGAAGTATTTGAGAATAAATACTTTATAAATATTAACATACATTATTTAATATATAAATATTATGAATGCTTTCTTTATGACTAGACTTATTCCAAAATGGATTTACAGTGGCTTAATTTCCAGAGGGATCAAATGTGTGAAAACACTTTGAAAAGTATGAAGGATTTTGCGAACATAATTATAAAACAGTTTTTATTCCACCATACAATTCATCTCTACCATTTCTTGATTGTCCACTACCAAGTAACAGTAGTGCATTGTGTCTTACAATTTACAAAAGTGTTTTTATATACAGTTATTCATTTGCTCCTCACCTGTCATGAGCTTGTAAACCATGCGGGCATTATAGCATAGTAGTTAAAAGTGTTGGTTTCTGGTGCTAGACTGCCTGGGTTTAAAATGCTGCTCTTCCTTGGGTGCCTGGGTGGCTTAGTCAGTTGAATGTCCAACTTGATTTTGGCTCAAGTCGTGGTCTTCTGGTGCCTGAAATCGAGCCCTGCATCAGGCTCTGTGCTGATAGCTCAGAGCCTACTTGAGATTCTCTCTCTCTCCCTCCATCTCTCTCTGCCCCTCCTCTGCTCGAGTGTGCTCTCTCTCTCTCAAAATAAATCAACTTCTTAAAAAATTTTTAAATGCTGCTCTTCCTTTATTGTATGACCTGTAGAAAATTAGTAAACATCTCTGAGGATTTCTGAACCTCAGTGTACCTGTCTATAAAATGGAGTTAATGAGAGTAGTAGCATTGGCACCTTAAGGCTGGTATTATAATCAAATGAGCCAATACACTTAAAGTACTTAGAACAGTGGCAGGCACGTGGTAAGGGCTCAATAAATAGATGTCTTTAGGATAAGTATTATCTTACTTTTAGCATAGTTTCCAGGTAAGAAACTTGGCCACTATCACTGCTCTGTGTGCATACTGCCTCTGTAAAAGCTTACTGCAGAACAAGTGCTGAATGCTGTTTTCACTTTTTACTTTTGTGTGTGTTTGTGTGTGTGTGTTTAATTTTTAAAATTTTTTTAAATGTTCATTTAATTTTTGATAGAGACAGAGCACAAATGGAGGAGGGTCAGAGAGAGACGGAGACACAGAATCCGAAGCAGGCTCCAGGCTCTGTGCTATTAGCACAGATCCTAATATGGGGCTCAAACCCACGAACTGTGAGATCATGACCCGAGCCGAAGTCGGACGCTTAACTGACTGAGCCACCCAGGTGCCCCTTATTTTTTTTTTTTTTTAGTGTTTATTTATTTTTTGAGAGAGAGAGAGACAAAGAGACAAAGAGACAGCATACAAGCTGGGGAGGGGCAGAGAGAGAGGGAGATATAGAATCTGAAGCAGACTCTAGGCTCTGAGCTGTCAGCACAGAGCCCAACGCGGGGCTCAAACTGACGAACTGTAAGATCATGACCTGAGCTGAAGTTGGACACCCACGCTGAGCCACCCACGCGCCCCCCCTTTTTTTTTTTTTTTGGTAGAAATGAACGTTTTTTTCAAATTTCCTTTGGTTGGCCAAAACGGGTACTAATGTAGGTCATTCATAAAATCAAAGTGGCCTAATGTGAACTTTTGAAAAGTGAGGGGTAACTATATATCTTTTAGCCTATATAATAATCATTTAATAAATATATTGCCTGAGTGTACTACACCACACTGTCCTGGGTGCACAGAATCTGTTATAGACATTTCATTTTTTTTTCATGTTTATTTATTTTCCAGAGAGAGAGACAGAGACAGAACATGATCAGGGGAGCAGCAGAGAGAGAGAGGGAGACAAAGAATCCGAAGCAGGCTCCAGGCTCTAAGCTGTCACCACAGAGCCTGACTTGTGGCTTGAACTCACAGACCACGAGATCATGACCTGAGCTGAAGTCAGAAGCTTAACTGACAGAGCCACCCAGGCACCCTTGTTATTGTCATTTCAATAGAGACTGCCCTACTCTCTTTATCTCATTAAAGAAAACTAGATTTTTTAAAAATCCTCCAATACATAGAAATATCAATATTACCACTCAGGAGATAAATGATAGTTCCAAAAGAAGCAGAAAAATGAGAGGTCATTGGGCGCCAGAGCTGAGAAAGAAGTCTTTTGGAAGACATGGCATATCAACTGGAATCGTGGTATCAGAGGGAACCCTCTTTTGGAGGCTTAGTTG